TGGAGAAGCATGGAAGCAATTGGAAAATTCCCAAGAGAGATGCTCCTAAAAACTTTCTCAAAATACGTGGAATTGTCCGCAAGAAAATGGACAGGCATCCTCTTTTAGTTACAGAGAGCTCCTCTGCTACTAAAGTCCCCTGCAATGCTTTGAGGAGCAAACTAATTTCCTGGATAGAATTCTCAAAACTTTTTCAACTTTCAAGCAAGTGAGAGCCAAGGTTGGTTGCTGCCAAGAAGAGCAATGGGCTGGACTCACTAGCCAGTTAGCAAATTCACCCTTCAGTAGGTACGCTTGATAAACTTCACTCAGATTGTCACAGGCTAATCAAACCCTTTAGCAGGTTTGCCTCCCAGTTTGCAGAAGATAGGATTGGAACTGACTCTTTTGGTTGACTGTTGTGAAACTCTTTTCCCAACAGAAACAGCCAGTCTGGCTGAAAAACACTGCCTTTATCCACTTCACTTTCCCCAGGTGGTCATAACAGATGCCTACACAGCTTTAGATGCCTTCTTTACAAAGCTAGTTCTGCCCAGATCACGTTGTGTTTTTTATGTTTTACTGTCCTTCACAGTTCTCCTTCCGCACCCACATTATGTTGACAATTTTATTTTGTCCCACTATCTCTTTGATATTCTGTCATTTAAATCCAGGGTTTGGGTGAGTGATGTGACTTGAACTGTCTTGTCTTTTGTAACTGTCTTTTCAATTTTGGTTATTTTAATCTTCTCTCTCCATTGGCACCATTACTAACAAGGCTGTCCCTCCCCTCTCAGGAAGTTTGCTGATGGGGTGCATGTATAAATACACCAGATATCAAGTGAAGCCTTCAAAGCTGAAATACACACCAGACTGAATCCGCTGTTTGGTTTAGAACTGAATTTATAACAGAATTGGATTATGCCTCTGGAAAATGTGTAGGGTGGAACAGTGTGAAGACAGGGAAAGACAGCCTATGGTTGTTCTCCAGGGAAATAGTTTCCAGGAGGAGCTGCCCACAAAAGAAAACTCTTAGAGAATTCTGTTAGAAGAAACTTTGGTCCAGCTCTTCAAGATAGCATGACAAAGGTGCTTAGAAAATCTCCACCCTATTTATGGACAGGGAAAACTAGACAACTGAGCTTTCCAACTTGCCAACAAGTTATTTGCTGAGAAACTTCCACTTTTACTTTGAAAGGAATGAAAGCTTTTGGGAGACGTCAGATCAAAACTATATAACTGAAATGACCCTTGTTCCAAGATAGTCATACCTAACAGCTACCACCGAGCCAGGAAGTCTTTCATTCCCAAAAAAGTACAAGATAGCCATCATGCAAGGCACAACTATGGTGTGACCATAAAATGTCCCTCTTTGATACGTACTGCATCGGCACACCCTGTCCGCTACAACAACTTTCCTCAGTCTGATGGCTATGGTTGTGTTGCACTGTTACTCCCCCAAGCCCTAGATATCATGTTGCTGGTTAGGAATTGGGGAAGTTGATATGCAACCATGACATCCGAAAATCTGCACTGCAGGTATGTATCAGGATCCAGACCACCCGCTCCCTGTTTCTGAAGTGGGCTATCGTAGCAGTCTGGGTCTGTCTTATTTATTGTTTGCTTATTTATTATTTTGTTTCCCTATGCCTACATGTTCTCCCATATAGGGCAGTCATAAAATAAAGCAAGGAGCAGCAGGAGTCAATTATTCATAGGAAGGACAATGAACAACTCGGCGCAACTTTACAGCAGCCGTCGACCGTTATTAAGGAAGAGCAGCAGGGCAATTATCCAGACTTCCTCTCTCTTTCTCTGGTTTTTGTAGTCTGCCCATGTACAGTGGTCATTATAAATTTTTTACTAGGTTAGCGCTGCTCAGCTTGTTAAGCAACACCTGAAAGCAGTCCTTTGCACGTATTGGAACGAGAGAAGAAGGCAAAGGCACAGGAGGACAGCGATGGGAGGTGGGCAATCGCCCTCACCGTGGAGCAAAACTACAAGGGTATAAAACATTTAAGAGCAGTTAGTGCATAAAGGCTTCCATATGGGAGGAGTCGGCACAGATGTGTTCTATTCTAGGATTCCAGTCAATCAGCGTTGCTATAAAATTGTAGATTAATGAATCAAACAGCCTCTTTGGTTGCTAACAGTTGCAGTGGGATTTGGGGAGAAGGGGGAAGAGCCTTGGGGCTTTGCAGCTGAATTCAGCTGAGAGCCTACACGGAGGGTTTCGATTCTCTGCTAAACTTTTAAAAGCATCTTTAAGAGGGGAGGAAATCTGCTTTCTGTCTTCTTTGCCTCTCTCAGTTCTGCCATTTGATGGAGTTGGGGGTGGGGGTTGAAGAGACATAAAGCAAAGGAAAGAGCTCTTCCCATCTAGATTTGCCAAGCCTTAAGAGCCACTGCAGAGTTTCAGGGGTTTTACCATCATTTCAAATTAGATGAGCAAACAGAAGACACGGGATGTTTTTAGCGATGGAACCACACCTCTGGAGGGCCTTCTTTGTGGAGATCCATCACTCCTTGTCTCCGCACAGGCTTTTTTCCAGAGGTTTTTGATGCTTAACATGTTGCCACTGATTTATTGTTACTATGATTGTTATGGCTGTTGGTGCTGCAGCTGCTACAATTCGGATCGTTGCTTTCTAATGCATGTGATATATTCATTCTGTAGTTTATATCAGATGCTCTGTGGACAGGAACAGGATATTAATAAACTTGTTTACATTTGTAATTAAATCAATGTCCTGCATTTTTGCTCATAGGGTTTTGCATTACATGAGTGCATAGCAATGAGACTCTCGTTCACGGGTCCTCTCCCACAGGTACAGGCACAAAGAAGAGGCACATCTGCATGATGATACCTACAGGAATTTCTTGTGACATTTGAACTGAGAATCCAAATTAATGTAAAGTGTGGTTTGTGAAAACACAGCTGGATTATGGCCCAGTGTGACCCCTGTTTGAGTAAACTAGGAGATGCATAACCTGTGGCTCCTGGCCATGATTTGCCCACTGGTGCACTCCCATGAATATGAACAAATGAACCATCAACTATCATTTTAAGCATCTAATTACATGTAGCTTAAAATTTAATCAACTTAGCTTTCGTCATGATTGCCACCACTATTTTTCCTTGGTCCCAACCACTTTGGGGAATTCAAATTCTGGCAATACCACTCAAGGGCCAACTTGGTTGTGCATCCTTTGTCTATGTGTGGGGGGAACCTCTATAATTTCAGGACACTGCTGAATTGATCCTTTTTGGGCTGCAAATCAAAATGTTTCCTACCTCCTTGTCAGCTGGGCTGGAGGAAGAGAGGGAAAAGGAGAACCTTACACCCTGTGGCTCATTTACTAAGTATTATGAATTGTGCCACTTGTCCCAATGTGGACATACTCCAGATTTGGATCTACTTCTCCTTAAGATTCTAAATAGGAGGTCAGTTGCTGAGAATTTGGGGGGAAAGTCCATAAATCCAGAAGGCATCTAAGTTGGGGAAGGTGGAACAATGGTTTGAAATGACAGATGAAACCTTGCCTTCATGAAAAAACTAAAAATAAGTGCTATTGAGTCTCTCTTGCTATGAATTGAGAAGTTTCTACCAAAGCAATATAACCAAGGTATTTCATGAAGGAAACAAAGCTAGAGAATTCTTTCAGGCAAGGTACGCCTGTATTTCTTCTTAGGGAAGTTAGCCAAGTTTGCCTAAAGCAAAGAGTTTGGTGAATGAAAGCTTGGACAAGACACTTGTGAGTTGCCAAGAATTTTGATTTGATTAATGAATAGGATTATTAATCCATCTGTTCCATGTCCCATCCTTTTACCTTCCACACCCTGGCAGTTCCTGCTGTCTGCTTAGCTGGAAATGCCTGATACTGAAGCTGGAAGTCTGCCTGAGGAAAATATGGCCAATTTCTGCTCAGAGGACATGGTCCTCTTCAACCTACACAACATTACATAAAACACACTGGATCTTTTTCCTTACACAGTGACTCTGTATAAACTGTACATATTTTTGCAGGGGTTGGGAAGAACTTCTTTGTTTAAAATAACAAAATAACTTCATACTATGCACATAACATCCATTCCTAACCACTATGTCCTCAAAATAATGAAACGGGTATCAAGACATTGTGATGCAAGCTCTGCCTTTTAACACGTCACAATGTTGCATGCAATTTGTAAGAGGTGGAATTTGCAGTGCAATGCTGCAATGAACATCTCAGCACTTATCCCCTCCTCGCCCCCTTCTGCAGATGACTTATGACGTGATATTATTTTATTGCTATAGGATTGTGTCTGGTTTTGTTTTAATCATTGTATAAGTCCTTTGTCCTGGTAACTAGCATCAGCATCACTGGACAACTCTCAAAGATTATGGTTTTCTGAACACCCATTTTTTCCCTACAAGGACTTCCTTGACCCCATTTCTTATATCTACCTATTCACCTTTTTCAAGCATGCAAGCCATGACACAAGTTGGAAATGGGGCAATATTTATCCTCTTCCTCTGGGTGATTGTGTAAATTCAACTCAAAAGGACTGAGCAAGCACAAGAGCAGTCATAACACTGTCAGGAAAGCAGGATAATTTAAAGAAGATGTTAGGGATCCCCTTAGGAAAGGAGTGCATGAGTTATTTCTGGGCCAAAGGCTGAATCTGGCCTTTCTAAGCCTGGGTTTATACTCTAAAATTCTCCAGTTATACACCTAATAATTTTCACTGAATTGCAATTAAATAATAACTTCTGGACAACTCTAATGATTATACCCAAGACCTTCAAAGACCATATTTGGCCATCAGAGTCTTTCTTTATGCACTTCTGCCCTGAGACATCTCCCCAAGTCTCTCTCAAACCTGGAACTTCCACTGCCTGTCCCAAGCTTATCTTATACTCTCAAGTGTTTCTCTGAATCCTCCTCAATGTTTGTGGAAAAAAAAAATTTTTTTTTCTCATTTTGCTAATAACCAATTTCTTTTTTCCCCTTTTTGTTGTTTTTGTCATCCAATCCAGGCCCAGGAGCAGTACATGATGGCAACAATGCAGCTTCCAGAGCAATGGCTTGCATCTGGCTATCAGGCACTCTCTTTGCTTATTTCCTCCTCAAGTTTTGATAAGAAGAGTGAGCATCCTTGCAAATGATGTCTGGCTTCTCCCACACCACAGACTTTTAACCATCCACACTGCTGGGGGAAGAGGAAAAAGAAAACAGTCTACAGCTTGATTATATTGCTGGGAGGGCAAGGGGAGAGGGAGGGCGTCCAGATTCCAAGCCAACCACCCATTTGGGATCAGTTAATCATAAACATTTCCCAAAGCAGAATTAGTTTTAATTTCCTTCCTCAACCATCCCACCCTTCAAAAATGCCCTATTGGAAAATCTCAACTTCTCATTTCTACTACTGAATGGTTCTCAGCCAAGCCTGCCAAAATACCCCTGGAAGAAGAGATGCCTTGGTCCAAGAGACACTATACATCAGGAAGTGAAAAGCAAGTAAAGCATCCTCTTACTTCTGTGTCTCCTTGAGCAAAAGGACTGCCCTGTTTAATTATTACACTGTACATATCTGTCCATGTTTCAAAGTGTCCACTTCCATTCTGGTCTCTCACCTCCCATTTGGGTGGCTCTGAATGCATTTGCAATCCTTCTATTAAGGCAGTCTTCTGCAACCCTCCCCAGGATGTGGGTCACATGAGGGATGGAAGTGGTGGTGGACCATGTTGCACTTTAAGATGCAGACTATGAGTTAGCCAACTGCTGGGAGTATAGGAGGCTCTTCTCTTCTCTACTAGAAAACTGATGCTGGAGTGATGGAATGGGAAGTCAAGCACATCACATTTATCAGGCTCATCGGACCACTGTTCTACCCATTCATCCATCCATCCAATTATCCATCCATCTGCCTTTCCAGTCATCTGTTTGCCGTATTAATCAATTTATCAATGTAATTATCTGATGAGCTATTTTTTAATCCAAATTGTTCCTCTTCAATTCCCCATCCATTCTTCCACACATCCATCAGCCTGATCACCTTCATTGGGTCCCGCCTTTAGCTAGACAAATTTTTAATTCTTCATTATTCAACCCATTATTAGTTTAACATTCCACTGCAGTCTTTTAGCCTTCTTTGCTGCAGAGGGAAGGCACAGAGGTAGTCCACACACAGGATCAAACTGAATAGTATGGATCAAGAAAAGTCACAGTAAAAATCAAAGGGGGGCAAAGACAATGGAATAACATTTAGGAACATGTTGGGGTCAGCAATTGTGTCACTCAATGGATTTTAAGCTTTTTGCATTCTTGCCCTTATCATCCCAGTTAAACATTTCCATTGTCAAGCATTGCCTTAAAACAATTCAACTTAAAGTGCTGAATTTTATGGGGAAGTATTTGCCATCTTTTCCAGTGCCCCCAATTTTCTACTGCACATAGACATTCAAAGAGACTCATTGTTTTTCATTATCCAGAAATAGCAATGAGATTGTCTCTCCACCCTGACCCTGACCAGGCCTTCCCAGAACAACTTTTGTGTTTGCTATCTCACAAATCCACCCTCGGAAGCTGCTGGAGGCCAATTACTTTGGTAGTTTGTTGAGACATTAGTTGTACATTTCTTTGGAAACCTCTCTGGAACAGAAGGGTTTTGCACAGCAACTTAAGTTCCAAGTGTTTAATTAATACTGAAGAAACAGGAGAAAAACAAGCCAGAGATGGGAAGGAGAAGAGGAGGAGATCCAAATGTTTTTGTGTGCTTCTTCAGTTTCTTCACTAGCCCTGCAGAACAGCTACAGAATTGTTCAGGTCACTGTTTTGTAAAAGCATCAATGCTTCCTGAAAACTCTCACATGGCTCCTCTCTCTGGATGATACCAGGTTCAAATTGCTCCTGTCTGCACAAAAAACATCAACGTGGAAGGTTGTTGTAGGAAAGGATTTTGCTTCCTCCGTGGAAAGAAAAATACTGTTTTTGTTTGTATTAGTGATGGGATATCTGTGGATTTCTGGAATAAAGAAGAATCAAAAGGCTGCTAACGTTACAGACCCTTGCTAGAAAGAAACGTCAACAGATAGGTAGTTCTAATCTATAGAGTGCCAAGAAGAACGCTCACATGATTCATTTCAGATCAAGACCCCGAACAAGGTTGGACAACTGGGCAAAGTAATGATGCACAAAGGTGACTCATGGCGGGGAGCCAATTTCCGATGCGTCCAGTTTATGCCATTTCTTTGGTGCCAGGTGAAGGGTATTTCTTAGCTGGAAACCAGGATGGAAAATAATCGACTGTTCCCGATGTTACGTTTTTCTCTTGGAGAATGTTCTCAATAGGTGGATGGTTCCAAGACTTTCTTATTCAGCCACACCCTGAAAAGCAGTAAGGAAGTATAGCAGCCACTATACTGAGGCGCTGTCAGCTAGGTCATGGGAACACTAAGCTGGCCTTGTGAGTGACTGGTTCAAATTCTCAATGGGTCTACGCGGATGAGTAAAGAGATGTGCTGTTCAAGGCGTTTAGCTTATTGATACGTGTAAAACATGATTCAAAGATCCTGACATTTACTTATACAAGACTAAATATTTGGGTGGTATATTCATATTTAAAACATTGGAATGGCCAGGGCCTTGTTTTTAGATGAGTGATGAAAGCAGATACACCCCAACTGCATTATTATTGAATGTACAGACTTTTTCCTCCCATAACTTATTTTACTGTCCATAGTGACATATGGTTCTTTGGATTTCAAGCAAAGAAGTAACCAGAACTGGGATTGGGTTTTGGGGTGCGGGGGTGTGGAAGGAGATATTATAAACAATTGGAGAACATGGCTTTCACAAATATGTCGTTCTCCTGTCAGTGTTGGCAGACCCTTTCTTTCCCCTACGATGATCGCAGTGATATAGCACAACTTTCCCTATTCACCTCTGAAGCTATTCATATACTGAAATAGCCCTGGAAAGCTTATGCCATAATTTGTCCTTAAAGTGTCATAAGACTCTGTGTTGTTTTCATGTAATCACGTTGTCGTGAAGAGCCTCAGTGCCATAAAGCTATTTGGATTCTGATTTAATCTCTACAAGAAAGTCTATTTAATGCAGAAGAGATTTCTGTCCCTGCAGGAATTGCTGAGCTACATCTGGCCAAAGACTGTCTTCTTAGTCCTACAGTTAAAAACAGGCAGCTAGATGCCTGTAAATGCTCAGAAAGTTGGTGGCTTTTTCCTAGGCCTTAGAGAATTTGGAAGAGAGGCATTTGGACTTTAGTTCATCCTGACTCCAGCAGCAGATTTTGTCTCATTTAGGAAGAGTTTTAGTGAAATACTATGTCCATACATACACACAGAGAGACAAACACTAACTCATAGTCAAGTTAAATCAACCCTTGGTTTGACTTAACCACAAACTATTAGGATTGAATTGGATGTCACTGGTTCAAATGCAAATCATAAAACTGTCACCATGCCTACATCCACTCAAAGAATCTATATGGCTTGAAAGGGAGCTACACAGAAACTGGTTTGCAGGGTGCAGACAACCCCCAGAAAAGGTTTAGCAAAGGGAAGGATTTTAAGATGTTTGAAATTATGCTTAGAAAATATTTGTGGGTTTAACATATATAAGAGTTATTCTTCAAACCGTGCTAGACAACTATGCCTTGGCAATTCCATTCTGCCAGCATTGTATTTTTCTGCATGTCTCACCTTGTCTTAGAAGATCAAACAAGCGCCATGGGATAGAACTAAACTGAGTGGAAGGAAAGAGAAGACACTCTACAGTAGCTGTAAGTAATTCTCTTGGAGATTTTCTGTTAGGGGGGATGAGCTTCTCTTCCTGAATGAAGTGCACTGACATTCTGGTGACACACCACATGCTAAGTTTGCTTAAGAATGATTAAAGTTAAGTGCCTGATGCGTTCAAATATTTTCCACATGCCTCTGGGAGAATGCTCTTGGATTTATGAGAAATGCCTTACATTTTGAAGGTGAAAAACTCCAGGTATCTCCTGTACAATCTGTGACAGCATCATGGCAATTCTGGCCCCAAATTCATTTCAAGGAGGACTTGCATGAAGCTTCCATGTAGAAATGCTAATCAGTAAATCACACCCTTTGGTTTCACATAGACCAGAACATGGTTACATGTAATAAAATTATTTCACTCCAATGGGACTACACACAATTAAGTAGACACAAGATTGCAGGCATTCAGATGAATCTTTTTTTAAAAAAAAAAAAAGTCACAAAAGTCTCATTGAAATTGAGGATATGTAAGTGGAGGTTAACGAGTCTTAGCACTTTAGTTGGCTGGATCAGAGTTTTAGGCAGTTTCAAGGAGATTTTATATATCTGAGTTACCAAGGGTCTTTTCCCATGAACTATTGGGTGCTTTCTGCACAGAACATAGAAAGCTGCTTTCACTGCTTGATAACAGCTCCTCAGAGTTTCAGGCAGAGACCTTTCATAACTATTTGTGGACCTTATTCATGCAAAACAGATGTCCTACCACTGAAGTGGAGTCCTTCCCCACTTGCTTTGTCTTGGATACATGTCGACTTTGGACAGAATGCCTATTTTAATCACAAATCACTTTCCCTCTTTGTTCTTACCTATGCTAATCACAATCATTGGTATGGCCTGCAGTAAGATGAAAGGGGGCTTCGGTTTTGTTACACTATTACAACTTGTGCTAGTACAACTTACACACTGTGTTGGCTTATTAAGTCCACTGAAGATTAATCCAAGGCTCCTCTAGAAAGGGGAATGATTTGCACTTTGTGAGAAACAAAAAACGTCTGTCCCAAGAATGTAAGAACACACAGGTTGTATTCACAAAGAATGAAACTGTTTCATTGATAGCTCCTGCTTGACTCTTTCTACCAGGGATACCAGCTCAGACACAGCAGTTCTTTTTGTGGCTTGTTCAGTATAACGAGCAATCCTGAAACTCTGGTTCATTTCCATCCTAAGAAGGCAGAAACAAAAGTCACATCTAGTTCTTTAACTAATGATTCTTGGCTTGTGGGGGGGGGAGACAAACCAGGAATTATGATCCATATATTGTGTGAATCAAGCACTTTCCCATGATTTAGTTTAGATGTTCCCCCAGTAGAAGGAATCA